TATTCGTTATCATATCTTGCAATTGTTCGACAGATAATGAAGAGACTGAAGAAGAGGTATGATTGGTTTGACCAGTCGCCTGTTCTATCCCCGGCGTCTGATTTTGACTGGTCGCTTGTTCTGTCGCCGGCGTCTGTTTGGGATTCTCTTTGTGAGTACCTTGTGCTGTAGAATTAGGATTCTCCGTTAGTATTGCTGTGGAAGATGTAGGTTTCCCAGACGGTGGTGGTGTGAAAGTTGCACGATTCCGGATGGCATTGGTGTTTCACTGAAGGTCTGAACTTCCAATTTATTCATTAGTGTAGCGATTTGCAAGTCATTTTCTTCAATAGTCTTTGTGAGGTTCTCAATGGAATGAGCCATAGTTGCTAGTTGTTCCACCACCGTAGCAGCTCCAGTCATCATAGCAACAACCACATCTGAGTATGATAGGCCTTGAGAATCCACGTTCCTTGAAGTGATTGATTGCTCCGAAGTCTGACGTGGTGACTCTGGGGGTGAACCGACACTAGAGTGAGCATCATAGATAGAACGAAGTGGTGGAGCCTCCTCTGGAACAATGTCAAGGTTTTTGACATGTTGAGTTTTCATGTTCGCCGGTGTTGCAGGATTAGTTTTCACCACATCTTGCTGAAGTTTGAATGACGCCATCGCCTGGGACTTGCTACGTGTCACAGGGCCCGTCAAGGTACTTCCATCGCTTAATTTGGTCTTCGTGCCACTTTTCATGGTGGCTTTAGCGTCGACCTTTACAATAGTGATGTTCTTTTGGACTTTCTTGTCTGTCTAAATCTTAGGGGGAGCCATAGAATCTGATAGAGAAGCAACTTGATGGTAGGAGAAAGAGATGAGAGGCAAAGGTGGTCCCACCGGGCGTGCCACAAATTTGTACACACAAATTTTGTAAGTCTGCAATAGAAACAAAATATGGAGCAAAATAGAATTTTATTAATTTATGAATGTGGAGTACAGTCCTCTATAATATCTTTTACAAAAAAAAAAATGGTCCTCTGATTCGATCTCCTTGTTTTTGGTTGGTTGGATCCAAGGGCTGCACGAGTTTGTTCTTGAATCACCGTGGAATTTGATGAAGAACGGCACGTTGTTGGATGTGCTTGATGTTCTTCGCTTTTGGGTTTCGATTCTGAATTTGTGTCTGAATTTTGAGTCTCTGGATTTCTGAGTCTCTGAACTTCTGAATTCTGAATTTGTGTCTGAATTTGTAGACTTCTGAATTCTGAATCCTCTCCCCTTTTTTTCTTCCTCCAAGCCTCTATTTATAGGCTTCTTGGATTAATAGGATGATGACACGTGTCATCTCCTGATAAGGATAAAACTATAACTGGGCCGGGCCGGTTATATTATGATAATTATCCTTAAAGATAATTATTCAAAATATATTTTATTAGGAATAATTATCGTTTCATTTAATTATCTGGGCTGGGCTAATTAAATAATTTAAGTGGACCAAGCCTGGTAAATTAAATAATTTATTTAAACATTAGGCCTATATTTAATGGGTCCATTCGTTAAAACCAACGCCCACTAAATTTTAGTGTCTACAGCCACATATGCACTGCGCTTGCAGATGGCAGGTTAAATCTTGTAGCAATGATAAAAGAAACTACAAAATCAATTTTATGGGTATTATTGGAACCTATATTCTATTGCTCGGGTACGTGTCTAGCCATTGGACATATATCAAATCTCTAAATAAAACTGCTAAATATTCATACTATATAATTTATTTATTTTATTTTGAAGAGCAAAATTACTGGATGTGTTTTCTAGATGTATATACAACCAAAAGTGTCGGACACATTTTCTATATGTGTGTCCAACACAGTACTTCACATAATTTTGAAGAATCCATGTAACACAGATTGAGACATTCTCCTATCCCACACTATCCAAAGTGATTATTTTGGATAGGACCATAATAACCAGCGGTGTGTAAGCAAGCAACCAATAATTGCTACAATATCCACTAAAAATGTAATCAATATTTAAAACAATGTTGGTGTTAGGAGTCATTACAATTATTTTACATTGAAAGTCTATACCAGCAGAAGAGGTCTATACCAGCAGAAGAGGGATAGACAGCAAGCAGTAAACAACAATAAACATTAACAATAAAGCACAAAATGGTGATTCTCATACTTACATTTTGTGTATAGGCAATCCATCATCCCCTTCTCCAAATCCAACAACACCAGAATTTGTAAATTCAGATGAAGAACCGATAGGAAAAAAATATTGTTAAAGCTGAATCAACATACATTTTTTTCCTGGGTAAATCAACATATTTTTCCCTAAAAAATAAATACAAACCAATACAATTGGCTGTTATACCAAAAAGATTACTATCTTTCACCATTCAAAGCCAAGCCTCCTTTTCTGATAAAGACGAGTGTGAAAGAAACTTATTTTCGTAATTAGCGTGGTACCTTTTCCCCAAGGTCACTTTGACCAAATTGGTAATTTAGGGTTTGATGCATATTTCACGTAAAATCTGCTTACAACACACTACAGCAGCAACCAATAGAGTTCACTACTTTCTTTGCCAACATTTTTTAAAACTCTTAAATAATTAAAAAATCTTAGGTTCAATTCTGTATTCATTTTTTCGAAAACAAAACAGAGCACTGGGCACGGGTAGGGGTTGGGGAAAAGAGATTAAAATACTACAACCTACCATAGATAGAAGTCTTTCTCATTCATTCATCTCAAAGAAATTTATTATTCAACCTCAATTATCATAAAATTAAATCTATGCAATATAAAAATAACATTTGCTCAATTACTTTATTCTGGATGGAGAAATTGATGAAGTTGGTATCAACCAAAAGTCGGTAAGGTGGTCCAAGTGCAGTGTTGTACTTGAAGAAAAGAGCAGAAGAAACATTCGGTCTGCATCACATAAAATAGTAGCTCGTATTTCAATTTTGAACATATATTTATGTATGTATGTACATATAACAGATATATATTCACACAAATAAATATGTTAGTCATATAGAAGGGGCTTACATGTTTCGTGGGAGCTTTTCCTTATGCAAATCTTTCTTGTTAGGGTTCAAAACCTCTTCTTTGTATATAAATGCAAAAAATATTTTTAGAATTAGCAACAGGATAAGCATATACATATAGATTTAGAGGAGCAACACACATAAGCATATAGTAGTATCTATATACATATAGATTTAGAGGAAAAAGATAGACTAACTTACTGCTTAATTGCTTTTGAGGTGACGATCTTCTTCATGACTGCGAATTTAGGGTTTTTCTTTGCTTTTCCCATGTCTCTTTCAATTGAACACCAACAAGGTAAGCTCTGAATCTATTTCTTTTGATAGGTTAAAACTTTGAATCTCTGGAGCGCTAAACAGTAAACACCCTAATCCCAGTTATTCAGCGCTAAAACTAAACAAATTTATTGAACAACAAAATTTTTAAGCTCGCTTGATAAACAAGTCGAGTCCAAACAGGCTCATGACTCAACTCGCTAGGCTCATAAACATATTTTTAAGCAAATGTAAGGGGATGGGCTTGGAGTTTGGGCTTTTTATTTTAAAAGAGATTGAATATGTTAAGATGGGTTGGAATATTGGGCTTGAATATTTATAAATTCAAATGGTTTAATGGACCTAAGCTTACAAGTTAAGTTGGGTTGGGTTTTTGGGCTTGAATATTTTATTAGTTCAAATGATTTAATGGAACTAAATTATACAGTATCTGCGTATATTTACAAACCCTTGCTTAAGTTCGGCTCATTTAATTATTAAATTGGAGAATTTTATTTGAGCTTCACTTGTTTGCTAAACAAACTAATAAAACCAAGCTCTAGCTCGCTAGCTGTATTCAAATCGTTGTGTATTTTATTCGACAGGTCGTTTAAGGGAAAGGAATAACATGTTTTTTTATGTTAGTTTTGTTTTGGTCGTACACAAAAAAATTACAACAAAGTATTTTCAACAAAAGCTATCAGATATGGTTAGTGATGGTTGGGTGGTGGCTTTGATGGATAGCCTAATATGGAAAAAATATGTGGAAGGGAAAGTACTCTCTTTTGTTTGTGTCATTTTTACTTTTTGTTTGGTTGAATAAAAATAATAGTAGAATTTTTTTTTTTTTTTTTTTTCAAGGTAAGAAACACACGTACACATTTACTTTTTGCTCCTGGGAGATTGACTCCACAGAAAGGGATAGTAAAAACTAAAAAAGATGGATGGAGTGACAATTTATTTATTTTTATTTTTTTTCCTTTGCAAGGAAAATGAGTGTTTTTATATATATTTTTATTTATTAATATACCCTCATTTTATAAACTTATAAAATTTACAAATAAACTTTACTAAACAGAAACAAGAAGATAAACCATAAGAGAGGTCTGTAAGAAAAGTTTGTATAATTTCTCAAATCATACGAGAGGTCCCAGTAATTATATGCTACACATAAAAGAGGTCCGTATAATTCACCCTTTCTTTTTTATTGATTTGATTATAGCCTATTTTGGTGGCGCGGTTGGGATCAAGTGGTGGATTTTGAGACAAGAGGTGCAATTAATGTGGTGGAGGCATGTGCACAAACAGAGAGTATAAAGAAGATTGTGTTCAGTTCTTCTTTAACTACAACAGTATGGAAGGAGAATATTTGCTCAGAGAAGGATGTAGATATATATATATATATATATTTGGATAAATGAGAAGGATGTAGATGAAAGGTCATGGAGTGATAGAGAGTTCTGCAAAAAATTTGAAGCTTTGGATCTCTGTACCATTTTATTTACCGCCTATTAACGCCGGACTGTTTGTTATTGAAGTTGGAGTTTGAGTTTCGACAAATATGAAAGTTGTCGGAAAAAATGTCATCAGAAAATGAAACAGGGAGAGAAATAGAGGAGTGAGAAAATATTTTGTTTATAAACTCAGTTCCTATTCTGCTTCATAAAAATGGACTCTCTCATTTGACATTCCATTTTCCAATATGGCACGATCACATAGTAGAAAAGCAATGAATATAAATTAAGAAAATTCTATCTTACAGTTCAATACATGGACTTGTTGAGTGTTGACACACAGAAACAATTACTCCAATAAAACATGTGCTGTCAAGTATATATGAGAAGCAATATGGAAGGCTAAGAGAGAATCAGAAACAAGAATGGACTTTCTCAATGACAAGGCAGGCACATTGATCCCAATCAGAGCTAGCTAAAGCAGTTATTAATTTCCACCAACCAGCACTGAATTAATTTTTCAAGCCTAATCAAGGTCGATCGATCATTAATTTCTGTATATGAAATATGCCAGGCCCATAGGTGGACTTCACCATTTGGATAAACAAGGGAAGCTGCAGCGCTGCAAATAAAGTGACTGGGACACAAGCAATAACTGGAACCGAAACCCCCCATCTCAATCTCTCACCCACCACCATCGAAATGGCTGCACCAAAAGCTATCATCATAGTGGCTATAGAGAAGAAGAAAGAAGCAAGACCTATTATCAGTCTTTTGGGCAATGAATGAAGGAAATCTTCTTCTGCGTAGCGCGAAGTTAACATAGACAAGAAGATCAGAATGGAATTGGTGGAGGAGAAGAGAGCGAGTGCATCTGATATAACAAACACCATGAATGAGTTGCTCATTAGGAAAATGGGGAAGCCTTTATCACTGTTGCCTCCGGGTACAGTAAAAGCTGCAGCAAATGCTACCGTAGCAATGAGAGTTGATACAACCATGCAAGAGTTTGACGTATCCTTCATCCATCTCTCTCCCTTCTCACGCAGGTCTGCGTGCTCTTCTGTAAAAATTTCCTGAGCAGTTTTCCCGTTGGAGTTCTTTGCTGCCCTAAAGCTCGGATGAACCAAATTTTCCGCCATCTGCGGGGTATTCATGCAAACAACCCAAGTCAGTACATACCAATTCTTCCAATTTCAAGAGATTGAAGAGGGGAAGGGGGGATCGTTCACCACCTTAAACCAGTGTAACTCTCTCTGCATTTGGAAAGCTGAACCTGAAACAGAATTGAGCCGACTGGAAGGTGCCAGCTTTGCAACTACATGCAAAATGCTACTGCAGTCTATAACAATTGGTGCAGAAAAGCGATACTTCTCAAAAAGACAATTAACAATCTTTTCTTGACGACATTCAACGGCAACATTAATCAGGCCTTTTTGGCTCACCGGAGTCCAAATTAGGTCTGGGAAAAATTTAAGACATCTCTCAATAATTTCAACTATCCCGACACTTGTGGCAGTATTCAAGACTTCAGAGGCTATAAAGAAATCAATGACTTGTGTGTTACACATATCTTTTACCGCTTGTCTACATATGCATTCCACCAATTCCAGAACATGTTTATGTCTCCATTTTTCAGCATAGACACACTTGATGCCTGGTGCTGCATATCATAAAAACCAAGTTTTGCATAAATTAAAGCAGTTAAATATATCACTGAAGATTAAGCAATGCAATGTAACTTAATTACCCAGCCGTTCAATAGCTTTGCACAATAGTTTGTTAAACCACTGAAGCACCGCACACTGAAAATAAGCCTGTACCAATTACCGGCCAACTCAATTAAATCAACAAATTAAGCCTTGTCTCTAGGAAAAGCTTCCACAGTAAGAAGCCAATGGATTTATTAAGTTCATATACACCACAGCTGCATCAATCATTATGGAATCGTAACTATATATGTGGTGGAGAGTGAAATGAATGTTCCTAAAAGAATCTTAATTACACGTGTCGGTAAGATCTGAATATTTTAAATCTTCTCTAATCTTGCTTTTTCAATCTTTAAACTCATAAATTGGATGCAAATTTAGAGCTGAGTATTGATTACAATGGAACTTGCAAATTTCACATACAATCTGGGCGCACAAATATTTGAACATTCCTACATCCCAAATGTCTAGAACCAACCTACGAGCCTAGCCAAAGTGTTTGAAACCATGAGATGCATCCAATGGGACCCAACATTGGGTTTCACTGGATGCATCTTATGGCTGGGCACACTCCGGCTCAAATTTTCAGTCAATTCTATTGTTCTAAGAAGCATTTTCCATGAAATTATCAACCATTTAGTTTCATTGGTTAGCCATCATCTATCTCACTAGTATTTAAACCATTAAAAAAGAGCTTTTATGGACATCATGCACATTGTTGTGAAAAACTTCACAATTGTTCTACAAATTGTTAGGACAACAGGAGCGCACGAACATCCAATGAAAAGAATAAAGCAATAACACAAGATATAACGTGGTTTGGTCAAAACCAGCCTACATGTACTGATCAAACCCGATGGATGTCATTTGGATTGTGCAATGCACCTGTAACTTTCCAAAGGTTTATGATGTCAATATTCTTGGACATGGTGGAAAAGTTTCTCGAGGTTTTCATGGATGACTTTTCAGTTTTTGGATCTACAATCGAATTGTGCCTTCATCATCTTACTTTAGTCCTACAAAGGTGTCGTAAGATAAACCTAATTCTTAGTTGGGAGAAAAAGCCATTTTATGGTCCAAGAGGGGATTGTTCTAAGTCACATTGTGTCAAAGAGGGGTGTAGACACCCCATTTTTGTCCTCCTTTTTCAACCTACCAACCTTCTAAACCTCGAGAAGGAATGACATTTCCATCTCGCGAGACCATTTTCCTAGTAGGGCTCGCCTACAATAGAAAACTGAAAACAGACAATTAGACTGTCCGATTGGACATCGGACTTCACCATTACACTCACGACATCACACAACGACACAAAACACTTCGATCGACCACATCACACACTTCACGACGCCCGATCACCAATTTCATTAGAAGGACAAAATTGGCAATTTGCAATACAACCCTGTGATCCGTTTGTCAGAACGACAATCGGACTTCAACATTGAGTCCAAAGCACCCAAAAACCATGGGGTACACCTTTCCTCGAGGTCTCCACCCTTCTCCATCACACAAAACCCTCGGTGGGGCGCTGGAACAACACCCGCAAGTATTGTCCTATATATATCTGTCTTTGCATCCAATTAAGTAAACAAAACAGACGTATATGCTTGTATTAATTAATTTAAGTATAAGGCAAAAATCATAAAACCCCCACTACTTTTAAAATTTGATCATAAAATCCCAAATTGTTTCCAAAAACCCTTACACTTTTAAAAAGTGATCACATTTCCCCAATATCTGAGTCCGACCCGTTAATCGGGCTGTGAAATGACAAATTTGACCTTACTATTTAATGTTAAATTAAAAATTAAAAATTATTTTTTAAAATTACAAAAATACCCATTAGTGGAACGCTATCATTTTATTGCTTAAGTACATATTGTTGCTAACGTGGCAAAAATAATCTGAACATCCAATAGTATTGTGACAACACATCACTTATCACAATAACCACTTCACACTATTGCCAAGCATGGCCTAATTACACTAATAATTTTAGCACCAAACACGGCCTTACCGACGCTCTCTTTCTCTCTCTAAGCTATCGTCCTCCCGTAGCCGAGGATAGTGTTGACCAATAGCAAACTCCGACAACCTATTTCGCCGACCAGTTGGGTCTTCAAGGAAGTTCACGATCTGTATGATGCTTGCCATAAATTTTATTGATTGTGTCTGTTTCTGATTTATCGGAGACTTCGCTTGTTTAGGTCGCTGCAATTGCGTCGTTGATGCTTAAAGCTTTTCGCCGACAGTCATGGAGTTTAAGGCTATGCTCTCATCAGTTTCGATACAATTGCGTCATTGATGCTTTAGAGTTTATCCGGCGATCTCCATCATCGTCACCATGCTCACCCGGGTCAACTTAGTTCCCACCAAACTTAGTCTCAAACTCACCAAACACAACCCTTAGCTGTGTGTGGTGGCCGCTGCAATGGTGAATCGGGGATTGTTGCAAAAAGGATCGCAAAAGAACCCTAAAACTAGAGAACGCTCATATAGATACCAATGAAGTATACAATTTAAAACACAATTACACCTCTGCAATGGTGGGGCAACTGGTGGAGATGGCGGTCGGCTTGATGGGTCGCTTTCTTCAAAGTGATTCAATAAGGAAACAAAAAGTTGAGAAAGCGACTGAGTCAACGGCTATGTGAGATCACAATAGTCTCGAACAGCCAAACCAAAGGCCACCACCGCACTACCACCCCCATCGCCGAAACCGGAACCGCCACCACCATTCCTACCTCATAACCACCACCGGTGCCACCGTCACCATCCAACACCATTATAAACGCCTCCACCACCTCCTCCTTCTACCCCTTCCATCGAAACCCTAATTTCCCACCTTCTTCGTCACTGAGTACCCTCGTCGTTGCCACCATGTACCTATTTAGTCCTTCTTTTATCCCAATTTGATCCCAATGGCTTCAAATTCTGTGATTCCAATTATAAATTTGATGATGGTGGCACCAATTTGATGATGGTGGTTGCCGCTTCCTCGCAGAAGTGATGGTGGTGTTTATGGAGTGGAATGGTGGTTAAGGATGTGAACGACGTCGTTTGTGCATGAAAGGGTAAAATCGTCATTAAAAAATAAATTTTTAAGTTTTAATTTAATATTAAATTGCAAGGTCAAATTCGACATTTCACAGCCTATTTAAGGGGTCGAACTCGGATATTGGGGCAATAACGAGGATAAATTAAAACCACTCATATAGATACCAACGAAGTATACAATTTAAAACACAATTACACCTTTGCAATGGTGGGGCAACTGGTGGAGACGGCGGTCGGCTTGATGGGTCGTTTTCTTCACAGTGATTCAATAAGGAAACAAAAAGTTGAGAAAGCGACTGAGTCAACGGCCATGTGAGATTGCAATAGTCTCGAACAGCCAAACCAAAGGCCATCACCGCACTACCATTCTCATCGCCGGAACGGCCACCACCATTCCTACCTCACAACCACCACCGGTGCCACCGTCACCATCCAACATCATTATAAACGCCTCCACCACCTCCTCCTTCTACCCCTTCCATCGAAACCCTAATTTCCCACCTTCTTCATCACTGAGTACCCTTGTCATTACCACCATGTACCTATTTGGTCCTTCTTTTATCCTAATTTGATCCAAATTGCTTCAAATTCTGTGATTCCAATTATAAATTTGATGATGGTGGTTGCGGCTTCCTCGCAGTAGTGATGGTGGTGTTTATGGAGTGGAATGGTGGTTAGGGATGTGAACGACGTCGTTTGTGCGTGAAAGGGTAAAATCGTTATTAAAAAATATAATTTTTAAGTTTTAATTTAAAATTAAATAGCAAGGTCAAATTCGACATTTCACAGCTTATTTAACGGGTCGGACTCGGATATTAGGGTAATGCAATCACTTTTTAAAAATGTAAGGGTTTTTGGAAACAAGTTGAGGTTTTATGATCAAATTTTAAAAGTAATGGGGGTTTTATGATTTTTGCCCTTAAGTATATTAGTATATTACAATAACGATGATGATGACAAGGAAATGAGGACAGTGACCGATTAAGAAACTCCCTGTGTTTTACCCATCAACTGATCTGGACTCCCTTATGAGTACCACCTCCACTGTACTACAATAAAAATTAGGGCTACATCTCTTTCAGTCTTACAAGTGTCAGGTATCTATGTATAGAGTTCAAAACCCAACCCGTGGAAAAGGATTAAAATTCTTTAGAGCCCAAGACTTGTCTAGCAAGAAATTTCTTAACAAAATACAACTCTAAAATAGAAATCTAATTAAACTAAGAATTCAAGATACAATACATGACACAAATATATTTATAAAGGTCTTCTTTTAGTCATGTGCAATAATTCCATTATTATGGGAAAATTCATAGATAAAGAAAAAGTAAAATTTTTATACTCCTATCAAGTATCAAGTTAGTCAGTCTATTAGTTAATAAATTTTGTATCCCCATAATTCTAAATTATGGAGTGGTTGATGTACTATGAGAATAATCTTTTGAATTTCCATCTTAGAACAACATAAGCCTTTCCAAAATGTAATACTCCACCATTAATGAAACACAAACAAATATGTATATAAAATTTGCAAACCTTGACTTAGAAAGGTTGCTGATGGTGTTGAGGTTGGCACTTTTCCAGATTCTCTTAAATTCCCAAAGGGACTCTCCATGTCACTTTGTATCGGATGTTGTGGCCCATGGTTAAGTTGAACAGGGAGAACTTCAACATTAAGAGGACAATGGGAAAAGTATCAGTAACATGTATGAAATAATTAATTCTTTAATCCAAAAACGAAAAAGATAAAAAATTTGGACAAGGCGTAGTAAGTTCAAAGGCCGGGTATATAATGCCCTTGGCAGTTTGCCTCCAAACCTGTGAAGAGGGACCTCCTCCAAACCAGAGGGACAATGAAATTAATGTCTTAGGTTAGACATACATTCCACGTGTGAAAATTTATCAAATGACAAATACAACAGATCTATATAGGAGAAAGGGCGAATATATATATATATATATAAAGATCAAGAGAACACCAACATACGTGGGTATATGCAGCTTTTCCAGAATCCAAACCTACTTCCACTCGGGAAAGCAGAAGGATTTTGTGACAGAATGTGGAGTATAGATGAATTATTTTTATCTCTAGCTGTAGCCAGGTGAGGGTACCGTTGGATGAGATGTAGGCAAATATCTGTGGAAGAAGAACACATACCTACATTAATTAAATGAGACCAAATTAAATTATATGTTTACTTTCGTGTAATATTCCCATTCCAAAATGCCTCCAAGATGAGATGACAAACCCAACTCGTCAAGCTCTCCAATCCTTTCACAATTAATTGAGACTAGAGCGAGAAAAAGTGCAAGACAAATATGCCTTCAATTTCAAAATTTCTGTTTCCTTCATCTTTTTCCTTTCATAATATAGTTAAGAGATGGCACGCCATTCCTGGACAGGGCTCTAATAACAATAAATATATAGTATTTGAGTACTGTTATATATATATATATATATATATATATTCAGAACACACAATCTATAATTTACCACATTTTCGTACTTGTAGACACAAGGCATGCAGTGGTGAGCATCGAGTGTTTTAATTAGTATTTTTGCAGTTTATGTGTAATATATGTCCTATATATGCACTCTGTCTTACCATAGTAACCTGAGGCAGTTATGCTCAAAATGAGATCAGCACCCAAATGACCAGAGAAGGGTTTCCGTTCAGCTTTTTCATTTTCATCTCTAGTGACCAAAGAAAGGTACCATACCACGTCCTTCAATTCAGGGGGAGCCAATGAAGGTGCCATGAAGAGTGGAGTCTGTCCATGAGCATCTACAATTTGAGTCAAATCATTATTTTTTGTTACTAATGTTCTAACTGCTTTTTTAGTTCCACTTATGGCGGCAAAATGAAGAGCTGTGCGGCCCCGGTTCTCTTGCATTGCAATTGCTTCTGTTGGCATGAGTTTCACCAGCTTCTCAACGAACTGCCAGCGTCCACTGCAAGATGCAACGTGAAGTGCAGTCATTTTGTGGAGCGAGATAACTGCAGTCAATGCATTCGGATCAGACTCATTGAATCTTTTAGCAGTTTCCCAATTGCCATTTTTCACAGCCTGGTGCAAAGGTAGGTAGTAACTAAGGTCCAATTCATCACCTGTATTAATTTTCCATTAGTACCACTTTTTTGTAAGAATATTATAACGACTCATACATAAAAATTTACAGTAAAATGTATATTATGGTTTAGGAGCCAGAAAGGAGCTTGTATTTGCCTAGTGTGGGAGTCAGGCTGCTCTCTATGGAATATTAGACCGATCTATTACACTCATGAAATCAGGATACTACATATGACAATTAATGTGTGGTCTATAGAACACATGTATTTTATAAAGAAACTAGTGTGAGTGATAAGTCTCACCATGGAAGACTTACCTACATGAGTGTGGAAGTCAGGCCACTCTCTATGATATATTATACCATTCATATTACACTCATGAAATCGGGATACTGTAATAGGCGATTTCAAGATTGAAAGAAAATCTGTATATTGCCTTCCTTTGAATGGTTTACAATGCTTTAGTTAAATAGGACATACAAGGGGCTAAAAAAAGGAAACTACAAGCTGACTACAAGCTGTGACAGCAAACTACAGGCTGTAATTACAGGCTGTATACTAACAGAAGCTATAGGCTGTGCACTAATAGAAGCTATAGGTTATACACTAAAATATCCCCTAAAATCTGGTCATTGACTATCTATATTTACACGCCTATCATATCCCCTAAAATATGGTCTTATTAAAACCAAATATCTCTTTTTCAACACTCCCCCTCAAGCTGGCTTGTAGATGTCTTCCATAGCTAGCTTGCTTCTTAAAACTTCAAACTGTTTCTTGTGTAGTCCTTTGGTAAGGATGTTTGCAGCTTGTTCAGTAGTAGAGACATAAGGAATGCAAATCATACCACAGTCAAGCTTTTCCTTGATAAAGTGTTTGTCAACTTCCACATGTTTGGTTCTGTCGTGGAGGACTGGATTATGAGCAATTGAAATGGCAGCTTTGTTGTCACAGTAGACTCTCATTGGAGGAGAAACAATAACCTTCAAATCTTCAAGGAGTCTTTTTAACCATATAGCTTTGCAAATCCCATGGGCGAGTGCTCTGAACTCGGCTTCTGCACTACTCCTCGCTACTACATTTTGTTTCTTGCTTCGCCACGTGACTAAGTTTCCTCCAACGAAGGTGCAATATCCTGAGGTAGATCGTCTATCAACTATACTGCCTGCCCAATCAGCATCTGTGTACACCTCCACTTGTAAATGACCTTGTTTCTTGAACATAAGTCCTTTACCTGGTGAGCCCTTTAAGTACCTCAGAATCCTGTACACTGCTTCAAAGTGTTCCTGTCCAGGAGAGTGCATGAACTGACTCACCATACTGACTGCAAATGCTATATCTGGGCGTGTGTGAGATAAGTAAATTAGTCTTCCCACCAATCTCTGATATCTTTCACGATCAACCATATTCTCGGGTTCGGCAGCTTCTAACTTCAGGTTGACTTCAATTGGAGTGTCAGCAGCTTTACACCCGAGTAGTCCTGTCTCATTAAGCAAATCAAGTACATATTTTTGTTGATTCACGAAAATTCCTTCTCTTGACTTGGCAAATTCCATTCCAAGGAAGTATTTTAATGCTCCCAGATCTTTGACTTCAAAATCTTTAGCAAGTTTCTTCTTCAGTCTGTTCAACTCTTCAATGTCATCACCTGTCAAAATTATATCATCCACATACACAATTAAAATGGCAATTTTCCCTTCCTCACCGTGTTTGTAGAACATGGTATGGTTTGCCTGACTCTGATGATACCCATGACTCTTCACAGCCTTTCCAAAACGTTCAAACCACGCTCTTGGAGACTATTTCAAACCGTACAGGGATTTTTTGAGTTTACAGACTTTGCTCTGACTGTGTTTTCCTTCGAACCCAGGTGGCAAGCTCATAAACACTTCTTCTTCCAAGTCTCCATTTAAAAAGGCATTTTTTATGTCCAATTGATGTAATGGCCAATTAGAATTGACTGCCAACGACAATAAGACTCGGATAGAATTTATTTTTGCTACAGGAGCAAACGTCTCTTGGTAATCAATGCCGTACGTTTGCGTAAAACCTTTCGCCACAAGTCTTGCCTTGTACCTTTCCACACTACCATCAGCTTTACACTTAATAGTGAAAACCCATTTACACCCAACAGTTTTCTTTCCTTTGGGTAAGTCAACTATTTCCCACGTTTATACTCCTTTTAAGAGCATTCATCTCCTCTAACACTGCTGATTTCCAATTCGGATCATCTAGTGCTTCCTGAATGTTTCTTGGAACAAACAAGTGAGAAATATTTGAAGTAAAGGCCCTATGTTTATGGGAAAGTTTATCATAAGACAAGTATTTGGCAATGGGATGCTGGGTACAGGTTCGGATTCCTTTTCTAACAGCTATAGGGATATCAAGGTCTACAGGAACTTGGCTAGGTGTCTCTGTACGATTAGAAATAGTAGGGACAACTGTAGACAAGTTAGGATTTAGAGTACCTTGAGTGTTCAGGGAGTCATTGCTCGGGACCTCTGATTGGCCTTGCTCAGGTACAATAGTAGGCTCTCTACTCTTTTGATGAGTCTTTTTTCTGTTATAAACCAGAAGCTCAGGATTCGGTTTTTTTGGAACCGTTGGTAGGATTTCTCCCCCTGTTGGAGATACAGTAAGGCTCGGCAGATTAGGACTAGGAGGCCCCGGGTTTCCTGATTCTAGAACATCATTTTCTTATTTAAAAAGATCAGTGTTTGGAGTAGAGTGTGAGACAATAGTTTTAGGTAAGGGAATATTAGTAGAAATCTCCCAAAAATTTTCTTCACTCTCTTTCTCCCCCTGAAGAAAAGTTTTCTGAAAATAAGGATGATTTTCTAGAAAAAAAACATCCATACTGATAAACATTTTTTTTGTTGTCGGATTGAAGCATTTGTACCCCTTTTTATTCGGGGCATACCCAACAAATACACATTTTTCAGCCCGAGGATCCAATTTAGATCGAAGTCTACTAGGTAAATGGACAAAGACAGTGCACCCAAATACTTTCAAAGGCAGGTTTGAATAAATCCGAGTTTCAGGAAAAGATTTTTTAAGGCTTTCAAGGGGTGTAAAATAGTTAAGAACACGAGTAGGCATCCTGTTAATCAAATATGTTGCTGTTAAAACGGCTTCACCCCACAAATACTTAGGAACATTCATTGAAAACATGATGGCACGAGAAACTTCAAGTAAATGTTTATTCTTTCTTTCAGCAATTCCGTTTTGTTGGGGTGTGTCAACACAAGTGGATTGGTGAAAAATTCCTTTTTCTGTTAAAAAACTTCCTAAAACTTCATTAAAGTATTCGGTGCCGTTATCAGTATGAAGAATGCCAATTTTTGTTTGAAATTGATTTTCAATCATTATATAAAAATCCTTGAATAATTTTTCAACTTCAGATTTTTCATTCATTAAATACACCCAACACAAACGTGTATGATCATCAATAAAAGTCACAAACCATTTTTTTCCAGAAAGAGTTGTGATCCTAGAAGGGCCCCAAACATCGCTATGGATTAAATAAAATGGTTTTGATGTTTGGTAAGGTTTAGGAGAATACGTAGTACGATGACTCTTTGATAAAAAACAATTCTCACAATAAAAAGATGAACAATCCAATCCTTTAAACAAAGAAGGAAATAATTTTTTAAGATAAGGGAAACTAGGATGCCCTAGTCTAAAATGCCATAGCATTATTTGTTCTCTAACAGGGATAGAACGAAAACTACTCAAACCTTGAGCCTTTTTATTACTTGAAATATCATCTTCAAAATAGTAGAGACCATCTATCATCTTAGCACTGCCAATCGTCTTCCCCAAGCTCTGGTCCTGAAATTCACAATAGGATTCAAAAAAGATAACACGACAATTAGAGTCTTTGGACAATTTACTAACTGATAAAAGGTTACAAGCAAGCTTAGGGACATGAAGGACAGACTTAAGATCAATAATTTTTGAAAGTTTCACTAAACCTTTGCCTGCAATAGGAGAATAAGAACCATCAGCTATTCTGATTTTTTTTTCAGAGCCAGAACAGGGTGAATAAGTTTGAAATAAATGAGAACAACTTGTCATATGGTCAGAAGCCCCTGAATCAATGATCCATGGGGTAATACTGGAATTTGAACGACAAGATAAGGCCTTCGGGTTGTTACCTGTTTGAGCAAGAGAAACATTAGGAGTACCAGATGAGGAATTGAATTTCAGCAATTTTAGAAGATGATCCATCTGTTCTTTGCTGAAGGGAAGTGCCTCGGCTTCATGAGCTGATGGGGCTCGGTTGAATCTGCCTTCCTGGTTGAATCTGCCTTCCTGCTTACTCTTCCAATTCGCTGGTTTACCATGAATTTTCCAGCAGGTTTCACGGGTATGGTGAGGCTTGTTGCAGTGGTCACACCAAAGACGGGGCTTTTCATTATGTTTCCTGCCAATATTCGCTTCAGATGCGACCAATGCAGAGGTCTCAACAGCACCATTTGATAACTTTTTTCCAAGCATGACCAGCCTGCGACTTTCCTCTCTTCGAACCTCGGAGAAGACTTCACCGATTAAAGGCAAGGGTTGTCGTCCAATTATTCTGCCTCTCACTTCATCAAACTCGACATTGAGTCCAATGAGAAACTTGAAGATGCGGTTGTCTTCCACCTTCTTTTTGTAATGGTTGCAATCTTCAGGCGATTTCCACTCATAATCGCTGAACAAATCAAAGTCCTGCCACAAACGTTTCAGAGAGTTGAAATATTTTGTAACACTGTTATCTCCTTGACGGATCTCTCCGAGTTTCAGCGTTAGTTCATAGACTTGAGACTGATTTCCTAGGTCTGAATACATTTGGTTGACATTGTCCCAAAGTTCTTTTGCTGTGTGGTAACACATATAATTAGAACTGGTGTCCTCCTCCATAGAATTCACCAACCAGGTCATCACCATCGAATTCTCTGCATCCCAGGTCGAGTAGGATGGATCTTCAGGTTTTGGTTCCTTCTTTTCTCCTGTTAGGTAGCTGATTTTGCCTCTGCCTCGGATAAACATCCGCACGGACTGGGACAAGCGAAGGAAGTTTTCACCATTTAGCCGAATTGTGGTAATCTGGACCGAGTGTGTCTGAGAGTTTTGGACTTGGGACTCAAAGGTCTTGGTCTTGGACTCAGGTATGTCATCAGACATGGTGATTAGAGTTGTTTGGAAGAGAAAAAAAAAGGAACAGCTAGGGGTTTTTTTTCCAGAAGAATCGGTAAGATGCTCTGATACCAAATAGGCGATTTCAAGATTGAAAGAAAATCTGTATATTGCCTTCCTTTGAATGGTTTACAATGCTTTAGTTAAATAGGACATACAAGGGGCTAAAAAAAGGAAACTACAAGCTGACTACAAGCTGTGACAGCAAACTACAGGCTGTAATTACAGGCTGTATACTAACAGAAGCTACAGGCTGTGCACTAATAGAAGCTATAGGTTATACACTAAAATATCCCCTAAAATCTGGTCATTGACTATCTATATTTACACGCCTATCATATCCCCTAAAATATGGTCTTATTAAAACCAAATATCTCTTTTTCAACAACTGTATATGAATATAAATGTGGGGTTTTATAGAACACTTGTATTTTATAAAGAAACTAGTTTGTCTGATAATTGGAGCTTGTCTTTAAGAGTCCTATGATTCAAGACAAGTTAATATCGTACTTTGATAAAGCTTTGATTTTTTACACGAAGTAGAGGTTCAAACCCAAAAGGTACCTTCATTTATGCACTGTTTCAAGATATTTATTATACTTCCTTTGCATAAAATGTTTTGTATAGATTTTCAAAATAAAATTTAAAATAGAGCTGGAAATGTTAAAAAAATATATAAAAATGTATTTTCAAACTAATCCTTTAAATGTTATATAGTTGGTGTTTAAATTTGATCATAAGTTATCTTTCTAGATAAGACACAACTTTATCGAAAAGCTTATATCTTTCTAGAAAATACATAGCCATTCTAGAAGGTCACATTCCTGGTTACAAATACGAAAGGTGAACCAACATTCAATATATACAAGTTTAAAGATTACTTCTCTCTCTGAATCACTCTTTTACTCAGTCAAAATATCTTTCAAAATTCTTTTAAATATATTTCAGAACTCTTTTTGTTTTCTGCTCATTCAATTTTCTATTACTTTAGGTATTTTTATCATATGATACAACAAACGGGTTGTAGTGTGTTGTGCAACGTTCAATTACAACAATAGCGCAGACTTTTTTAATATAGCAAGGGGAGGAATATTGTAATTGTTACATGTCTGCAGTCTCTCATATTGCTGTTCAGAAATTTATTATCCCAAATAACCCTTGCATATCGTTTATTTTCCAACAAAGAATATTACACCTACTCGTGCATACAAATTTACATGCAACAAAACTTTAATTATGGTCTAGGGGTGGGAATTGAGCTTGTAGTTTGTCCTTTTGACATAGAAAGAGAACATGATTCACATATTTGGCTACTATTGGAATTAATTATATAGAGCAGTTAAACAAGAGTATGAAAGCTAGCTCTAATTTTGTGTAAAAGTTTAACAGCTAGCAAGTATTTTTGATACCTTATATAAAGTCATCTAAAACAAGTAATTGGTGTAAATTAGGTACCAAAATCACATGTATTTAAATTTCATGATACAGTTTGGATATAGGTATAGGTAAAATGCATGCAATTTATACTGACAGAACAGAGTATCCAGGAACTTACGGGGTTCATTTGTAAAATTACTATACGGTGTAGGTATAGTACTGCTCCCCACTTCCATAGGCGGCAATGTCACTTCTTGTAAGATGATTGACCTGTGATTGAGAATTAATGAAGATCAGATGTAAGTTTCAAGCAATTATGTATTTAGCTAGCTCATGATGTCTTTCCCGTTTTTGTTTTGTTTGAGTACAAGAGTATTGTTGTTGCAAGTGACAAAAGAGGTAAGACCATCCGAGCAGCATATATTAGCAATGTCTTATTATTGAAATGAATTAGTTACTGCTTTTGTAGAGTTAAGGTCGATTGTTTACATACTAGAAACAAGATGACTTTTTATTCCACTAGATGAAATAAAGAGAATTGATCCTTCAAGCACTTCATCCTTCTTTTATTCTACTTTATTCCTATTCTTTTTCTTCTTTTAAAGGAAAATAGTAGAAGGTTTTCAGAGCTATTTGGAGTACAAGAACATTTCTTTTCTACTTACCACGAAAAAAATTATTGTTCTCTCTTTTTTGCTAAGTAGGGCACACAATCACTTGAGTTGTCAAGTCAAGTATCATACAGAAGATCAATAAATAAGCCACCTTCCTAAAAGTAGTTCTCATCACTAATTTCGCCTATTTTGGGGGCCTTAAAAAAGAGAAAATTAAGTAAGCCACCATTACATTTTTTCTATCCATTTTCTCTTCCCTTTATCAGTCATAAAAAAGGGACCTGAGAGCTAGCTAGTTGGGGTACAAGAACATTTGTGGATTCTGTTTTGCAAAGCTACAAGAACATTTGATTTCTGTAGTATCACTTTTAAAAAATAAAGCACCTTTCAGCACTAATATTGATTTGATGCTTCTTTAAGCATATAATAACCACTAATTAAAATTGGACAGTGAGGAAAATGGGGGCATCTGTAAGAAATATTTCCAGCCAATATAGCTAGCTATTAACATCTTTGTAAACAACCAACAAATTGGGAATTCCTTATTATGTTATACTCATACATGAAAACTGGCAGATCAAATTGAAACATGTCATGCTAATTAAGGATCATCCTTTTTTTCCACATAAGCACAACAAAACAAAGACTTCCCAAAATATAGTAATAGACTGAACTGAATGAAAAGTCCGAAATAATAGCCGAGACTGACATATATGTATATCTGAATGCTAACCGAAACATGGTAGAAATGAAAACTAAAAGACAAATAAAAAGTATATGGGTGGAAGTGCTTAGTCGGCCTATTATATATCCACTACTCTTATACAAAATAATCATTCCTCAACGCCATATAGCTACGATTTTCTTTGCTAAGGCTAAGGGCATGCCATCAGTTCAAATATATATTGGCATGTCAAAATGTAATTTATTATTATTATTGTTGTTGTTGTTGTTGTTGTTATTATTTTGTTAAATGACTGGGGAATGGGAGCATCATTTGATCTTTCAATCTAAGAGCACTTAATTATATAAAAGAAAAAATGAAATAGAAAGGGACACCCAACCATATGATTTGCATACTTACATTGCTATTTCAGAATAGGCCTTAGGATATAAGATTATTGAGCAGTAGAAGCAGTCGAGTTCGCTTTCACTTTCACCATACTGTAATCTGCTGCGCTAGAATCTTGAAGATGAACATATATAGCAGCTAGCGAAAGGACCAGTATAGGGAGTTACCAAAGATTGGTACCGTGCCGCCTCTTTGGTTCTTAACTTCTTTGTTACCCAAACAGCAGCATAGAGAAGTGAAGTCTCAAAAACTTACCCCCTGGGTGATGGTGATTCTCATTTGCTTTCTTGGGCCATACTATTTCTAAATTCGGTACTTAAGCAGTTAAAGACATACATTGCAGACGATGAGGTGGCCCATCCAGGGTAAAAGTATGAAGTTAGATAGAGATAAGTATTATATCAATCGTATGTATCTAAAGCTTTTGAGGGGCATTTTGACAAACATTTTTCGTGCATAATCCATGGCGGGAAGCCGAACCCCTTGAGGCCTCGCTAAGATTGTAAATTGTTTTTTATTTATTTATTTATAAAAAGAGGTTTGTGGCGGAGGGCCAATTTGAGATAATTGGAGCATGATGACATACGTATAACAAACTTAATAGACACCGGAGAGGAACATAACATGTATTGTATTCAAAAGGTCGGTAGTTTTAAGGGAGGGACAAACCAAATAGGCGTGGAGGGAAGTTTTTAGTTGGCCCACGTATTTTTGGAAGCATATACAATTCATAATTAGTTAGTAGAGCAAATTGCTAAAAAAAAAAAACGGAGCTCTTGAGTAAAATGGTTTGCACCAATATAGTCCGAATGTATTATACTGCGACTATAAGCCAGGTTACAAAACCAATTGTTACAAGAATTTTCTAATATGGGATAAGTGAAAAGTATCAAAATGTCTAGAACTTATTAAAATGAAGTATAGGGAGATTGCAATTGGAAAGTCATAGTCGCCCTTTTCTTTTATGCATTTTCACTTTAATTTTAAAGGAAATGACACTACCAAATGTGATATGATTTAATGGTATTTTTATCTTCCAAAAGAGAAAGTCAATAATTTAAATTGTGTTGTAAATTTGTCACTGTGTTTTAGTCAATAAAAAAATAGAAAAATAAAGAAAATGACACTTCTAACCCTAAATTCTTAAGTGAACCTGCTTTTTTATTTAAAAAAAAAAAAAAAAAATTCAAATACCACAGCTACCTTAACTTCATATAAAACTTACGTGTATTTTTAGCTTTGGCTAAAAGTTTAACTGAACCAAATTTCTACTACTAAAGACTACTTTTTTGGTTACCAAAAAGACAAATTTTAAATTAAAACCATTTATACACTACAACATCAAAGGGGCATTATTATTAGCATTTATCCTAATACTACAATAAAAGTGTGCTAAATTAAGACAAAACATAAAATAAAAATTATTTTAAATAAAATCTAATTTTTTAAAAATTGTATTAACATGCATTTTCGTAATTATAATATCACCTTAATGGTCTGTAATTTTTAATTTTTTATAAAATAAAAAAAAATTCACTCTTTAGAAATAATAAGGAAAAGAAAACCTGAATTTTCTTAAATTTAGTTGATTGTGAATGTTGTGTTGCTAAAGTTTAATTAGTTGGTGAATGGTGAGAGCAAAGTAGAAGGTTTCGATTGGTATCTCTTTGGTGCTTCTTGCTTTAGGTGGCAAGGTATTAATCCTTTCTTCTTCCACGCAGTTGTCTCATCGATCATCTTCACTGTGAAGATACTTCTAAACAATAATTACAAATCAACCCGGAGAAAAGATTGCCTTTGTCACAGGAGTGAGTGATCTGTCCGGGCATTGCCTTCATCGCAATCCTGGTAATGTTTTTTTGGTATTTAGCAGAATTATATTGCAATGCTCATAGAACAATACTTCTATTGTTAAACAAGTAAAGAATGTCTCTCTCTTTACTTTACCATTTGGTTTTTTTTTTTTTTTTTTTTTTTTCGAACTGACATTATCAGTGCAAGTAAAGAAGACGGAGGGCTCTAAGGGCATATACTAATAGAGCGACCAGTTCCAGCAAGCATGGCAAGTATACCATCACAATCACGGCCGAAAAGCGATCCTAGTAACTCCATCAGCAGCGAGCCTGGTAAGCTGACAAGCCAGAACTTGGCATTGCAGATGGCCATGCTATTGTAAACTTAAATTCTGTTGCATATGGAAAATACCCATTTTGAAGAACATTATCCTATCATTTTTTTTTTTTTTTTTTTCCATTAATCCGTTATGAATGCGTGACCACGCCACGATAGCTGATTAAGTGGCGCCACCCCTGTAACATAGGCACAACTGGCCAGCGTTTACTTGGCGTGTCTACGGCAGATTAGGTATTCTCGAGCTACCTATCCGATAACTGAACTTGCTGGCCGAGGAAGGGGTCGCTACCCTTCCTCTACTGTGGATGTGCCCCGCTCCAGTCGGATGGGCTCCTTCCCCCCTGGCTTGCTCGAGGGTGCTCTCTGAAAGAGCGACCTCGACTAATCTGTTTTACGCACTTCCCTTCTCGGTTAAGAAGGCCTTGGGATAAAGTTTGGATAGAACCCTGCGAGGTCATGAAGGCAGGACCTCGAAAGGGACCTATCCCCCCTGAAGTATGGGAATCTGAGGACATGTGGATAGGTGACTGAGATCCAAGGGCTTGCCTCAGCCCGAGGCCAACACAAGGGGGACAGAACACTCGGTACCTAAGCTTGAGCAAGGAAGGATAAAGAACGCATTAATTGCGAAAGACGTTTGATAACACCCGTATTAATTAGGGAGCGCCATTACTTTTTTTTAACTGGGGGCCAAAGGGTCGCGGCCCATCCATCAATGTCTCATCCGTCAGAAGAAGAGACCCTCATACCTTTGGGTAAGAGCGGGCTCAGCCAAAGGACTAAAAGACATTGACCGAGGAGGTAAACACTATAAATAGGGGTGTTAATCAGCCTTTAAGACAACAACCACCACATTAATAGCTATCCTCTGATAAGCTCGAGCTCATACGGTACCGAGGTCGGCCTTCCCTTTCTTAATCTCCATACCTAGAGAATCCCTTGTGTTGCTTGGATCTCCACTTGGATACTGATCTCAGATTTCTTGGCTTACGTGGAACGATCTCCTCATCCTACTCACGAACTACCATCAACATTTCGGCGACTCTGCTGGGGAGGAGCGCTTCACATATGTCAAGTATACGGAAGATCAATCCGCCCTCTCAAACTAGCCCTGCCCTAGGCGAGGGCTACGATGGGTCTGTAAGTATGCTTGGGTCGTACTTCCCCGGAACTAGGATTATCTATCCTGATGCTTTAGTCGAGGCCCATAACGCGTTGTTGCACAGAATGGAGCAGCTTAAAGGCACCCAGAGAGAGGTAGTGACCTTGCTGCAGGAGATTGCTGACCGAGGAGTACTTCGGCGAGGTGCAAATCCGGGTGATAATCTCTCTGATGAGCTCACTGGGGAGCATGCAACCCCAGACAATCTGGCGCGATAGACGTTCTCATCATCAGCCGAGGTAAGGCGAGCCACTAGTCGACACAGGCGATCACGAGATACACCGCCGCGGGCTTGCCGAACCTTTTTTAGTACCCCTCTCACGGCACCCGCAAGGTTGAGTATGCCAAGTACCAGTCAGAGGGAGGCTCGTCGCAGAGACGCGGGCTCGGAGGGGCTCGGACATCAGCAGGACCTTGTGCAGCGGTGGCCGTATGTGACTATGGCGGATCTGCAAACGCTGTTGCGAAACGAAAAGAATATGCTGATGCAGGAAGTAGCCCCCGAACCACCCTACGCACAATCCATCGCGCTTCTTCCTTACCCCTCGGGGTATCTGACCCCTAAGTTCAGCAAGTTTGATAGAAGGAAGGGGAATCCGCGAGAGCATGTGGTGCGGTTTATTGAGGCCTTTGGGCCCTTCGGAAATGATCATACTCTGCGACTTAGAGAGTTTTCAAAAACTCTCACGGATAGAGCCTACAAATGGTATGCGAATTTAGAATCCGGGTTGCTCACTACTTGGAACCAATTAGCCATGATTTTCCAATCGAAGTTCTTGCAGGCAGAGGAAAGGGTGACTACTCTCTCCTTGACTAAAGAGACTCAGGGTCCTGGAGAGGACTTGCTTACCTATGTCCTAGATTTCATGACCGAGCTATGGAATGTTATGAAACCCATGAAGAAAAGGCGCTGGCTAAGATTTGCATACAGGGCATGCAGGGGTCTTACTAAATCCATTTCATTAACCTCAAACTCCTCACTTTCGCCGACCTGATAGAGGCATTTAGCAAGTAACCTCGCTATTTGTGCACAGGCCGCTACACAAGAAGAGTACCGAGGTAGACGTAGACCTCAAGTTTCAGCTGCGGACGAGCCTCCCAGTAAGAAGGGCACGAGGCCAGCTCGTGCTCCTCGTCCGAAGAATCCGGATGAGCCCCCTCCGCCGTTCCCATGCACTCTGGAAGAAGTGGAGACCATTCTTAAGAAATGGATCTAACATAGAGACATCAGGCTGCCCGAGGTGACTCGCGAGCCCACCCCAGAGGAAATGGCTAATCCGAAGTATTGCTTGTATCATCGGCATACTCGTCACCCCACCTATGACTGTTGGGCGTTGCGAAATACTTTCCACAGGCGGATTGCTAGTGGCGAGCTCATTCTTCCCCCCAGGGATGTGAGGGAGGAGCCTTTCCCTACGCATAATCGAGGTGTGGCGATGATGGTATCTGGAATGGCAATTGGTAAGGAAGGGGTCGAAGAGGATGTTGCCCAGGTCGTGCTGGTGGAAGAAGATGACCTCGACGCGTTTCGTTTGTTGGGAACGGCTCCTGTCAAAAACATTCTCCAAAAGATGGATTTTTCTCCTGTTACCCAGAAGGAAATAACAAAATTTTTGTGGTTAGCGGCGAAGGAAGGTGTCAAAGAGGTGGCGTCGATCGCGTCACTCCCTGTATCACAAAGGTCAGCTGGGTCGGCTATAGTCTTTACAGAGGAAGAAAAATGTGTCCCTACTCCGCACAACAGGCCATTATACGTCACGGCTTCACTCAATGGGGTCGAGCTCAAGCGGGCGTTTCTGGATAATGGTTCGTCCCTCAATATCATGCCTTTGGAAGTCTTTCGCCGAAGCGGTCTTCCGGACGAGAAACTTATCCGAAGGCCAACTGAGATTGCCGGGTTTGGAAGTGATATCCGGAGAACTGAGGGGAATGTGATGGTCCAGCTAGCCATCGGAAAGTTTAAAAGTTCGGTGAAGTTTCACGTCATTGATTCAGATACCTCTTACCATTTGCTCATGGGTCGAGGCTGGATGCATAAGTTCGGGATTGTCTCGTCTTCGTATCATCAGTGCATGAAGGGGTTCTGGAACGGAAACAAGTAATGGTCCGTTGCTCCGATCGACCATTTACTAAAAGGGAGTCTCATATGGTGGAGGCTGGATTCTTTAATGAGCTAGAAGATACAGAGGAACCCCAGCCGTTGAAGGCCTTTCCTCTACCGAAGTGGGAGGAGATTGACCAATAAAATAAGGAGAAAATGCCAGGAGCGATTGCTAACCAGAAGAAGCCAGCTGTCTGCAAAAGGATACGTTTGTCCGACGGAAGAATAGCATACCGCTTATGACGGTGTTGGGGGGCACGATCTCGGGCGAGACCGCGCCCCCGAGTGGAGTCATGTCAAGCAGAGTCTCCTAACCTTAAGGAGGGAGCCAAAATGGAGTCAGGTGAATCCGCTCGACTCAGTCAGGAAGAACTGGAAGAAGTCAACCTAGCCAATGACGGCCGCCCCCAGGTGGTCTATGTGTATAAGAAATTGGAAGGAAATGAGAAAGCGGCACTGATAGCCCTGCTCAAGGAATTCGAAGATGTCTTTGCTTGGACATACGAAGAAATGCCTGGATTAGACCCTCAGGTAGTGGCTTACCATCTTAATGTGCGACCGGACGCATGCCCGGTTAAGTAGGCGCAAAGGAGCTTTCGGCTAGAGCTCGAGTTGCAAATAAAGGAAGAGGTACAGAAGTTCTTGCGGGTCGGCTTTATCAAACCAATTCAACATCCTACGCGGTAGGCGAATGTGGTTCCAGTAAAGAAGAAGAATGAAAAAATCAGAGTTTGTGTTGATTTTAGAGATCTGAAAAAAGCATGCCCTAAAGATGATTTCCCGCTGCCCATAATTAACAACTTGGTAGACTCAACCTCGAGGCATGAAATGTTCTCGTTCATGGATGGTTACAGTGGATATAATCAAATTAGAATGGCACAGTGTGATGCAGAGAAAACAGCATTCTGCACCCCCATGGGGAATTTCTATTTCACAGTCATGCCTTTCTGCTTGAAGAACGCAGGGGCCACTTACCAACGAGCCATGACGGCTATTTTTCATGACATGTTGCACAGGCAAATGGAGGACTCTGTGGATGATCTGGTGGTGAAATCCCAAGTTCGGGGTGATCTTTTGGCTGATCTGAGAAGTGTTTTCGAAAGATGTCGAAAGTACAAGTTAAGGATGAATCCGCTGAAATGCGCTTTTGGGGTCGAGGCTGGCCGGTTTTTGGGCTTCATAGTGCATCGACAAGGTGTTGACATCGAGCAAAGTAAGGCCCAAGCTATCATAGAGATGCCCCCACCAGAATCCCTCAAGTAGCTGAAAAGTTTAGTAGGACGAGTTTCGTATTTACGACGCTTCATACTGGTGCTCGCCGAGGTGACACATACTTTTGGCGCTTTGATGAAAGAAAAGTTCGAGTTCAGATGGAGTAAGGAACACCAACAGGCTCTCGACCGTCTCAGGCGGTTACTATCCTTACCAGCCACCATGATAGCCCCTCAGATAGGGATTCCTCTCAGGTTCTATATTACCTCGACAGAGCGCTCCATTGGGGCGCTCCTCGCCCAGGAAAAGGATGGCCAAGAGCGCCCTGTGTATTACATTAGTCGAGTTGTGCAAGGTGCCGAGGCACGCTATTCTCCGATAGAGCGCCATTGCCTGTCCCTAGCATTTGCAGCCAAGAAATTCCGCCATTATTTCTTAGCCCATACCATTCACCTCATCACCAAGTGTGACCTGTTGAGGTACCTGCTCTCGTGACCAATCATTTCAGGACGAGGGGC